GTGCGCCAAGGTCCATTATAATTGGCGCTGGATGGAGTTCCAGATTCGATGAACTTACTCCTTGCCCTACAGCTTTGATTGCGCCATATCCATGTTTTGTAATCGATATCATCGCAAATAATTATTCACACTAATATTTTATAAATATTATCTTTCAAAAATTTTTATGTCCGTACCTAAACTCTGGCTTGTTTTATTTCGACTTGGAAGTATGTTCCTTACACGCACCTACACATATACATATATATATATATATATAAATATATATACACACACACTAACAGAGAAGAAGAATGCAAAATGAAAATTCTTAAGATCATAAACGCTTGTAAAGTTGACTCAAAAGCCTGAAGGTGTACGGGGATTGGTTCATTCTTATTGTTCTTTGCCGGTAGCATGGTGCTGTGCAAGTCTAGATGGTGTCAATAATTTCTTGAAAAGATATGGTATTGTTAATGCATGTAATCTTGATTTGCTTGTGAATAGATGTAATCTTGACTTTTAAACTATAATTATGCGCTAGTATAATAATATATTTTATGTCTATTATTGTTATATTATATTTTAAATATATAATTTTATCGTTGTAGTAAAAATCATAATTGATATATAGTAAAACTAAAAATATATATTTGTTGTATTGATAATGTATAAAAAATTATGTATAATAATCTTCAAAAAATTATGAAATTAATATCATATATCAAATGCACTATTAATATCATCAAATACAATCCCTAAAATTAAGATCATATATCATCTTACATACAAAGAACATATAGAATAACTCGATGTCGTAAAAATAGTCAGAGACAGATGTATGATTTTATGTTAGGGGACGAACCTCTAAAATTCTAGAAGGAGATGAATTTATAAAACTCTAGAAGGACGAAAATAAATTTTCAATAGAAAATACATAAAAATAATTTAAAATATATGATAATTTTAAAGTTTTAGAGAACGCTTGTACCCAGTCACCTTCTCGACCCGTCCATGAAAGTAGTAGTTTTCAAAATGAAATCAAACACACGTCAAGGAGACAAGAACGGATGGTTTATGGATGAGTTTGATGACAAAGAAAGATTTTAACCTAAAAGACGAAAGAGATTTCCAATGCTACAAAATATTGAAAAGTTGTGTTTTAATGCTAATGGAATGAACCCACCACTGAAATCAAAAATAAAAGATGCTTTTTGTGTTGATTCGCTATTGACATTGGCATTTTGCATTAGTGGAGAAAAGTAACGGGGATTAGAGGAGTTATGGCTCCCTCAAAATTTTGGAAAACTAGAATTTGATCCTTTATTTTTATTTCTTTATAAAAATAATTTATCCCTCAAATTTTTTTTAATTTTTTTTAATTTTTTTAAAATAATTATTTTAATTAAAATTTCTTTTACAAATTCTTAAAAGTTCTCATTAGGTCTCTTAAAAGTATTGAAGTTTTTAGTTAAACCTCCATTTAAAAAATAGTTTAAGCCTTTATTTTTCTTAAAGAAGATTAAACAAGCAGCCAAACTCTTTCATCAAGTTTTGACACTGCTCTATATGTTACAATATGTAATAACTTGAGTATTTGAGTCAACATTCATACGAAAATCTGAGTCATAAATAAATCAATAAATTAGAGCAATTGGGGTTCATTAAGCCAAGTTTAGGTTTGATTGGATGAAATGTAGGCCTAAAATATTGTAAAAGTGAGATATTTGAATTGATGATAAAAAAAGAAATGGCTAAGTTTGCAATTGAACCAATTTTTTAAAATGAATATTGAATTTAATTAAATGCGTGATATCATCCCTATTTCTTAATTTTTCTCTCAACTCTTTCACTCATCTTTTACCTTTGAAAATCCTAGTTTGTGAACACTAAAAATACTTCATCTTTTTTGTCCAAAGCAATCATTATCGTTTAGGATAGGTAAATATCATCTTTAACACTCCAATAGCTTCAAGAATAACTCACCTTCATATTTAAAGTGTGAACCTACTTAAAGATTTGAAGAGAGTTTAAACTTAGAAAGTTTTTCTAATACACTAAAATTGTAAGCTTATAAACTCATAAAACGAAGTATCAATAGTAGTTCATTTGATATCAGTATTGTTCATCTAGTATTGATATCAAAAGAGTCAATATCAAAACTGAGAAAGTTTGAACAATTCCAATATGCTAATTTGATATCGATACTCTCTACCTATACGAGAGTATCGATAAAGTGCTGACACCCATAATAGAGAAAGCGTTAAAAAACTTTCGTAAAACTCTAAACTCTTTACATTTATTCCATAAGACTTGAGAATGGCTAAGACACCCTAATATTTCTATCCATGAAAGCTCCAATCCAAGGATGAGTATGTGAGAAAGACTTATGTCTAAGTGTGTGCATGGCTTTGTGGTGATGTGTGTGTAACGTGGATTGTAATATTATTATTCGCGACTTTTAAGTGTAATATCTATCTATACGAGACTTGAAATATATTTATGATTCTCCAACTTAGTAACGTAGGACTGTATGCAAGTAGATCAAAGTGTCCGGTTTCGGATTATATCCTATAATATGATTATGTAAATTGTTTGTTTGAAAAAAAAAACTTATGCTAAGTTTGAAACTATACACTTAATATTCATGACGGAACTATTAAGGGATAGGGATGGGCTGTGCCCCCAAGCATTTTTTTATTTTAATTTATATATAAATTTTAAATATTTATGGAATAATTATGAAATCACCCCTTAATTTTAAAAAGTTATACTTTGCCCCTCAAGTTAAGATCCTGACTACGTCCCTATTTATATCCTTATTAAAAATAGAGTAAACTTTGTTGGTTGAGATGTATATTAAAATATATACGTCGTGCCTTTATACTATGGTTATGTTTATAAATTATAGAAAGTATAATAGAGTAGATGTGTACCATCGAACTTGTAAAGTTTATTTTTTTTATTTTTTAAAATGGTTACTTTGTAAAGTTTATTGTTTATATTATTTACGTGCACATGTTAGTAGATATTGTGTTCGTGTTTGAGGAGAACTATCGTTGAGGGATTGTCAACACCCTTGATCAAAGTACATTACGTTGTTTTATGTTTGTGAGTACGTGTATTTATCGGACCTTCTATACTTTAATTTGTTAATTCTAATATTGTTTTTAACTTATTGTGGAGCTCCAAATTTTATATAATTGTTTTAATTTATATACTTTTGGTATACATGAGTGATTTGAGACATATTTTGATATTTACGATGCAAATTTGAACTATTTAAATTTGTTACTTGTTTTGATTATCCAACATGACATCTCAAACATATCATGTTATTGATTCGAATTTGAGTTATTACACAAAAAAAACATTTATCTCATAAAAAACGATCATTATAATTCTATCAATTGGAATAATATGCTTTCCCTCCCTTTACAATAATGTGTCCAAACGTAAATGTTTTCCAATCAAGCTGTAGTGCATATCCATGGTGAATGCCTATTTGCACCATCGCTTTCCATATTGGGATCATGCACGTCATCGCTATACGTTCATAAATGTTCCTTCCCTGAGACTACGACAGATCTGATTATTCTCTGTTCTTTGTTTCTTTCACTCTTTTTTTGGTTATGCTTTGTCATTTTCGAACCAAATCGATGCTCGACTGTTCTTATGTAGAGGTTGATGTATCAGCTTTAGTTTCTTGGTTGATGTTAACTCCTCTAACAACCCATATATGAATAGGAAGAAGCCGTGTTGCTTTCCCCTAATGAGAATATAGAAGAATGTAACTTGAAACTGATAATCGATTTCCATTCCTTTGCTATAGAACGTACACCATCATTATATACAAGTGCATTACAAGGATAACCACCTTTAACTAAGCTAACCAACTAATCACTTCTGATAACCAACTCTAACAGACTGGAAGTTAACTCTTCAGTCAACATCTCCTATCTGGGTACGGGTCTAAACACAGATCAAAGGTTCACTTTTAAGCTTCAGGTTATATTTTTGGAAGGATATATAAATTAAAATAGATTATCTTATACGATATAGATGTTTCCTTTTTGAGCGAACTGGGTCTGGGCATTAGCCTGCCATCACGGGCTCAAACTACCTACATTGGACTCTAACGAATCTGGGCCTATAGTAGAATAGGGCATGGTTCAAACAAACGAAGGTTAAGTTTTTGAGCCTGCAATCTGCACCAGAAATTTCCAATTATCAAAGGTCCAAATCTTTTGCATTATTATTATTATAATTATTATTTTGACATTCAAATCTTTGCATTATTACAATACAAGTACAATGAGTTGGATAGTTTTGGACAGTCGTAGTCTCGTAGACCTAAAAAAAGTGGTTTTGTTACAATTTAGAAACGTTTTTCAGACAGACTTTCTTGATAACTTTTATGACAATCCAAATGTGAAAGATTAATTTTGAGAAGAAACATGTTCTAAAGTAAGATATACTCTAATCAATTTCCAAAACGTATCCAATTAGTAACTCAGGTAATTAAGTAAGCTAACACCTATTATTACTTAACCTTATAACTCTTAGAAGATCACGCCATTAATTAATATTCACATGTTGTAGCACTGTGGACGAGGGGTATTGAATCAGTGATAGATTTAGAAATATTTTTTAGTACAGACACTAGACACATATATTAATAATAAAAATTTCACAAATAGATGCAAATAAAATTTCAAAGTAAAACTAATAAAAAATAAAAAATTAATATATTTTTTTTGAAATTCATGTACGTCTTGCATCCGCCGCTGAAACGAACTATATTACTCGGTAACAAAGAAGAGTGGAAAATAAAGAAGTACAAACAGAGTAGTGCACGTTAAAATAAGAGTTCCAACTTTTTCAACATTAAAGTATGTAATAATAGTATAGGAGTATTAGAGTAGAATATGTTATTTTTATAGCAAAATGGAATTCCTTTTCTCATGCCATAGGATCTCGAGGCAGCAGCACTATCTTCGTCATGAGGGGTGATGATCACCGTCATCGTAATGGGGAAAACTAATTGATCCTTAGAAAATGTCAAGAATCTCGAGGATTGAACGGCTGCAGAGGGGACAGCACCCTCGATTCAACCACAGTTCCCTCGAACACATCCTGCAAAAAGTGTGTCCACATGGGATGAACGCCGCTCCTTTCTTCCTCCCCATACACACGCAGCACATCGAATCACTCCCCATCTCCGTGCCGCTTTCTTCCACCTCCTCCTCCTCCAACAGCCTCATCAACGACACCCTGAGCGGCGTCCCGGGGGACTTAATCCCCGCGCTATCTCTCTCTGGTTCCGGCGCTGCCCGAAAATGTCGCTCCGCCGCTAACGCTTCGGCCAGGTTCATGCCTGACGAAACTGGAGCTGGGTTAATGCAACCTGGATCCGGATTACGACTTGGGTCCACTCGTTCTTCAACTTCAACCACACCGTCTCCGTCTCCGTCTCTGACGCTCGTATTCATTGATCCGAATCCCCATGTGGTCCCACAGCAGCCCATGACTTTAAATCCCAGCCGTTCCTTAAAACTCCTCCACCTCCTCCTTTCCCTATCAACACCGTCCATTTGTTCCCTAAGAAATCTCAGTATTGTCCTAGCTTCCCTTTCCTGCTGCAACGATTCCTGCAACAACGCACTGAGCTGACTCATTTTTTGTAATTAACACGAATACTGCAAATGCAAAGAAAACCCAGAATACACCAGGGCAACCAACTAAGAATAATGAGAAAAAAAACGTCTCTAAGTGAAGGAAAAGGGAGAGTGAAGATAGTTAAGGAGGAGGCATACAGCATGGAAGTCCCGTGAGCCTATTACTCGGAAAAAAAATACAATTAAGAGAATCCCACCTCCGGCATTGATTCACACTAATGAAAATGACAGAATTAAACAAAATGGGTATTAAAAAAACACTGTTTTCCCAGAGCGTACCGCTCCTCCGTCATTGCGGAAGGTCTAGCTTTTCAAATTCCCGTTGGGACCACTGTCCAGTAAGAGAAAATAAACAGAAAAAAAGGTTGGATGTTTGAGTTTGGAGTTGAAAGATTTCTTTACGGGGATGGATTGTGTCTGAGTTAGAGGCATAGAGCAAAGGGCAGAACTTAGGGGGTGTTAATTTGATTAGTTCCAAGTGGTTGGATTTAGTTATTCGGATTATATTAATTTAGGTTTTTGTTGTTCGCCGACTAAGAACAAAGTCAAAAGAGTTTGCGTCAACCTACGTCTCCCATTGCCAAATGTTTCATTTTGCATGAAAATTCCTTTTTTTTTCTTTCCTTCTTTCTTGTTAGTTTGTCTGTCCAAATCAAAAGTTCTTATTTTAAATATTAATTTCAAAACAATACAACTTTTGTAAAACAACAGCATGGAGATAAATTGAATTGAAATACTAAATAAGCCTTGCTCCTATTAGCTGCCAGTCGGAAGCTCCTCATATGAGCTGCCAGCCAGCTCTCTTTGCATTTGAGAGATTAAAACTGTCTTAAGAGAATAATTTGTTTACAAACCTATGCAGACATTCAACTGGTTATATGGGTTGCAAGTCGAATTAAAAACAAAAAAATGATTGGTTTATCAGTAGAAACCGAGTCTGCAATATGCATCACCCAACCACATGGAAGCCACCAAATACCAAAAGAAAAAAAGGCATCTTTACGTTCTCTCCCTTCCCTTGCTAATATTGCACAGCTCCTACCTCAAATATGGTCCACGATCAGAGTATACTATAATTAAAACCCTTGCTAATACGTATGATCAGAGTTAGAAGAATTCAAATTATGATGTTAAATTGTTAGAAAAAAATTATTTTTTAAATGGGTATTCCTTTACTTGGAAAACGGCAATTCATTGTTAATTTTGTTACTTCATCTAAACAAAATGTTGATATTATCACCAAAGTGAGTCCTCCATCGAAGTTTAGGGACCCACGACGTCGTCTTGGTGTAGCCTTGGAGTTGTGTCTTGCGAACAAGCAAAGAGAGGTGAAGCCTCGAGATATATTGGAATTGGAGTGGACAAACGTAGGAAATACAAGAAGGCAAGCAGCAGTTAAGTTGTTTGGGCTGAAGTTTGTTAGTCAGTTATTGGGCGTAATCTATAATTGTAATATGTATCAATTGGGCTGGATTAAGTTGAAATGAAATACACAAGTTAGTTTTCTTTCTATTTTGCAAAACCATAGTCGTCTCTTTACTTTCTCTTCCCAATCCTAAACACCGATTCCGGTCACCGCCTCTCTCACCACCGCATCATTTTTCTAAGTACAATCCATCCACCTATCAAAAGTCTGTCAAAAAAATTGATTGGAATCCATCAATTTCCTTCTGGAATTTTTTTTCTTTAAATTTTTGGATTCTCCTAGTTTTGTCTTGGTAGAGAGATAATTTAGCTTTAGAAGCTTCGAGAGTTGGTTTACACGCCAATAGCACTCGCTTGCAAATCTGCCGTGTGCCGGCACGTCACAAGTTACCGGATTCAATTGAACGATTGACACACTCCACTCATCCACTTGTCCAGAACACGTACATTGACTAATACAAAACAAACATAAAATCTTCACCCAAGCTTTGTTCATCTTGGTTTTCTTTCATTTGGTCACTGTCGTCGAAATTGTACAAGTTATACTTACGTGTATTCATCTCCCCTGTGCGTAAACCCCGTTTCCATGGGTACAGTTTCTCAACTGTCTAACTTTCCATGCAAGACCTTCTTTATAACTTCACAACCCAATAACTTCTCCTCAAAACTCTCCGTTCTGCCTCCCAACACTAGGAAACCAACTCAGAATCTGATAAAGAAATCTCAATTTTTGACCCAGAAATCAATCAAACCAAGACCTGTTTTCCATGTCCGTGCTTCGGACGCCGACGACGAATGGGGCCTGGTCAAGGAGGAGCCGATTGTGATAGAGAGTACAGATGTGGCCGTGGCAGAAAAAGAGAAGAAGCCCGACGAAGTAGTGGAAATCCAGAGCTTGAAGAAAACTTTGGTGGATTCGGTTTATGGGACTGATCGTGGCTTGAAATCCAGTAGTGAACTGAGATAGTTGAGCTTATAACTCGGCTCGAGGCCAAGAACCCAACTCCCGCACCGACCGAGGCGTTGCCTCTGCTCAATGGAAAATGGATTGTCGCGTAAGTCAACGTTAAGAAATATAATTATGAGCTTGTTTTGATATTATCAACACTTTGCTCTGTCTATATCAAACATCAACATGCTCTAAGGCTGAGCTAATTGCTCAAAGATTATTGTCAGGAATACTACTAGATTTGGTGCGAATAACTTGATAGGAATTGTTTTGATGGTGATCTCATCAAATTTACTTATCGCCTTTATTAGTGGGTGCGAATACAGTATATGATATTTGTGTTGTGGAACAGGTACACATCGTTCCCAGGTATGTTTCCGTTGTTGTCAAGGGGTCAATTTCAGTTAGTCAAGGCGGAAGATATATCGCAGATCGACGCTGAAAATCTCACCGTCCAGAACTCTGTTCAGTTCTTTGGACCGCTGACCTCGAGTTCCATCAGCACTAATGCTAAATTCGAGGTTCGAAGCCCCAAACGTGTGCTGGTACGTTGTTTAGAGCTCTAATTTTCTTCCGATAAACCGATCCCGAAGTTGTTCTGGACACCGGGTGTAACTTAAATTTGCTCTTGTTTCTTTATGAATGTTGTGTGCAGAGATCAAGTTTCAAGAAGGCATAATTGGAACCCCCTAGCTGACGGACTCCATAGTGCCACCAGAAAATGTTGAATTTCTGGGACAAAAGATTGATCTCACTCCTATTAAAGGCTTGCTCACCTCTGTACAGGACACAGCTTCATCTGTCGCAAAGACAATTTCCAGCCAACCACCATTGAAGATCCCATTGTCAAACAGCAATGCAGAGTTATGGTTACTTACAACGTACCTCGACGACGAACTGCGGATTTCAAGAGGAGATGCTGGGAGCGTGATTGTGCTCATCAAGTAGGGCAGCACTCTGATGAATCCATGAACTTAAAACTCTAGATTCCTTTTCTTCTTGGTCTCTATTAATTTGATGTAAGAATTTTATAATTATATTGGTAATAATACAAAGCCATGGACTGGTGTTAGACTTTATTTAATGATGTACTATGGATCATTTATATATCTATCTTCAACCGAATGCTTTAGGGCTTCATTAAGAGAACCAGGCAGAATTCTGCAAACCATACACCCTTTAGTGACGAATCAGTGTACAAGCTTAGTAGTTCATAGTTATCAGTCATTAATCGTCTTGAATAACATATTAATTACTGAATTTTGTTCTGGTTTAAAGAAAGTTGAATTTTGGAAAGCCTACGAAAAACATCATTGACTTGTCCATAGGTATATATGCTGTTTCATGTCAATGAGCGAGGAAGCCACGAGAAAATTATACAGCAAAAGGGTAATTAATAGACTTAATTTCACTTTTGTCTCTATCGTATTTTCGTATCAATTTAACATTCGAAGATGTTCAAATACACCATTTTATACCAGACTTTTAACTTAAAACCCTAAATTATAAATCATAAATCCTAACCCTATTGCCTTGAAATCATAAACCCTAAATACTAAACACTAACATAAAATTTATAATTTAGAGTTTTAAGTTAGGGGAAGAGTATAGAATGATGAAATTAAATAATTTTGATGACAAAATTAATGCAAAAATAATAAATTTAGTGTACTGCAGTGGCAAAAATAATTCTTAAGCCAAACTATAATTATTGCCGGCATGGACTCGACTCGATTCTCCTTAAATACGAACAGAATGGCTATATCTTCATCATGAGCTTCGCCCTAATACTTGAAACACTTCTTCATGTTCTCCGTGAAGGTTGAGGCATTGTAAGTTCTGATTCAATTAATTGTTGAACAAGCTAGGTTTTGACTTTTGAGTTCCCTTTTCAGCGTTTTGGCATTGATGATTCTGGATTTCTTAGTCTTTATGCCATGAGAAACAGTTAATTTTGATAGCTTTGCAACCACCAGTGGAAAAATAACAAAAAAGAATCCTCCTTTACTACCTTTCACAAAGCTCGGGCTTCCACATTATTTTTTATGGTCACTCGCACCTGGCATTATACATTGTTCATAAATTATTCAAGACTGCTAAACCATTTCGCTGAGTAAAAGAGAAGCTCTCGTTGCTTTTCAATGGCGTTTATAGCGTAAGAACAAAGCAGTGCAAGCCTCATGGAAAACTTCTAATATAATCCCATGATACTCATCAGAATTCATAGATATGTAATAATTCAAGAGACTGCGAAGCTCCTGGGGCTCTTGCATCCTGTTCGCCGTAATCATCTCGACCATGGACTTTCTAAAATCTTCTCTCGGGTCGTAAGAACACTTCCCCATGGCTACCATGACCACGAACTTAGTCCCTTCACTACTGTGCCGCCTTCTTTCTATATTATACCTTGTCTCCTGCCTTTCTCTGATCATTTGGTCTAACCTCTCTTGAACCATGGCGTGTGCTAGACTCGAGATTGATGCATATTGGTCTGAACTCGATCTTTCTGCTTCTTCGGAAGAAGAGACACTAAGCCTGCAACTGCAACACAAAGCCCTGCATCCTCTCTGCTGAAACCTCTGCTTGTTGTGCTCTGTACTGGCTTTAATCTTCTAGTATGGACATGAATCTTTGGATGAAAAGTTGTTTCAAAATAATCATTTATGCTCTATAGGCAAGTGGGTCACGTTAGGCATGGTTGTATCTAGTGTTCGGGATGATGAATACGTAAAAGATTAGGGGGTAGTTGGAAGGCAAAAGGGGAGCATTTTTATTTGTTAATTGAGCTTGTATTCATCATGTGGGCTTAACAGATCTTCAATACTACTATCCTTTATAGGTAGTGTTAGGTGTCCTAGTTATCAAAGGCGTTGCTTAAATGGAAAGACAGGGTCCATCAATGATGAAGCCTTTAATTTGGCAAGTTTAGGCTACCAGCTTAAGAATTTAAGACAAATGGCAACCAAATAATAGTTTTGTGAGTACCAACTGAACTTTAAAAAAAAAATTAGCAAGCATATCAGTTAAAAACTATGATGATGAACGGGCCAAGGGCGTGTTAATAAAATGATTGTTTCAAGAACATAGTTCTCTGCTTTTTTTTATTTGTTCTTAGCTTAGCTACTTTGATTCCTACTTGATTTGATGAACTGAATTGAACCTTTTCTGGGTTGATTTTAGAACATAACATGCAGTCTTCTAAGGGTTGCCAAATTGAACTATGGAGAAGATCGACAAAGATTTGCTTAGCGGGTAGAATCTCTTTTGAATGATTATTTATGCTGGAAAATGAGGGAGACAAGATTAAAAAAAAAACTTACAAAGGGGTAATAGTTAATATTGAAAGACTTGGTAGTTTAGCATGTGATAATCATTTGTTTGTATCATGAAGACTGAAATGGTGGTCACTAACTCCTTCTTTAACAAGAGAGATGTGAACTTGATTACATTCCATAGCGGGGGACATTGTACCCAAATCGACTACATCCTGGTTCGAAATCGGGATCGTTGGGCTTGCATTGACTGTAAGGTGTTCCCTGAAGAGGCATGTGCATCACAACATAAATTGTTAGTTTTGGTGTTCCGCGTACGCCACGGCCAGAGCACTCATAGGAGGGCTAAACATGGTAAACCTAGGATTCTTTGGAAGAACTTACATGGAGCGACAATTGATGACTTTAGGAGTAAGGTTTTGTCTCATACAGGTTTTGGAACTACAATCTCAAATAATACAGATATGTTATGGAAAAATATGGCAAATGCCATCAGAGAGGTGGGCAAAAACACCCTTTAGTTGTCGACAGGGAAGGTCAAGGAACATAAAGAATCGTGGTGGTGGAACGGCGAAGTCCAAACTAAGGTGAAGACAAAGCAAGATTGCTTCAAGGAGTTTCTACAATGCAATGACGACGAAGAAAGATTGAGAGCTAAACAAAGATACAAGGAGGCAAAGCGGGAAGCCAAGAAAACAGTGGTTAAAGCAAAGGATAAGGCATACAAGGAAATGTATAAGAGATTAGACACAAAGGAAGGACAAAACGACATCTTCAGGCTTGCAAAATCCAGGGAGAATAGGAAAAAGGATCTAGGTAGCATTAGGTTTATTAAGGAAAACAATGATGTTCTTTTAGTGAAAGATCATGATATTAAGAGGGTTTGGGGTAGTTACTTCTTTGGCTTATTTAATGACGGTGCCTCTCCCTGTAGAGATAATATCGTTGATGGGTCAGCCGACCATCATACTACGGCCAATGACTGCCCTACAAGTAGGATTGGGATTGAGGAAGTCAAAATGTCTCTTAGAAAGATGGGGAGGGACAAAGCTGTCGGTCCAGATCAAATTCCTATCACTGTATGGTTGACCTTAGGAAAAGATGGAGTAAAGTGATTGACCAACATCTTTAATATTATTTTAGAGACTGCCAAGATGCCAGAGGAGTGGAGAGAATCTACGGTGATACCAATCTATAAGAATAAAGTAGATCCCCAACGTTGTGGTAACTACAGAGGTATTAAACTACTCAGTCATACCATGAAGCTATGGGAAAGAGTGATAGAGGCTAGGTTGAGACATGTTACTAGGGTTTTGGAAAACCAATTTGGCTTTATGCCAGGCAGGTCTACTACGGAGGTGATTCATCTTCTTCGACGGCTTATGGAGAAATATAGGGAAAAAATAGATATATTCATATGGCGTTCATTGACCTTGAGAAGGCGTATGATAGCGTTCCCCGCGATACGATTTGGAAGACCTTAGAAACGAGACAGATCCCAACTGCTTATATCCGGGCGATTCGTGATATGTACTGTAGATCTACTACATACGTCAGGACTATAGTTGGTGACATCGAGGCTTTCCCGGTGGAAATCGGCCTCCACCAGGGGTCATCTCTTAGCCCTTACATCTTTGCCTTGATTATGGACGACATCTATTGTGCGACACCAGACGGTGTTCCATGGTGTATGCTTTTTGCTGACGACATTGTCCTAGTTGTTGAAACAAAAACTGTGCTAAATAGTAGAGTGGCTACCTGGAAGACTGCTTTGGAAGAAAAAGATCTAAGGATCAATATTGAAAAGACAAAGTATTTATGTTCAAACTTCAGTGGGAACCAAAATGATGGAGATGTAGAAGTATGCATAGAAGGACACGCTTTCCCCTCAAAGGATTGTTTCAAGTACCTAGGGTCTATGATATATAAAGATGGGGGTGTAGATGAAGATGTTACACATCGTATAAAGGCGGGATGGATAAAGTGGAGGGCTGCTACTGGAGTTTTGTGTGACAAGAAGGTGCCTATAAAACTTAAGGGAAAATTTTATAGAATGACAATAAGACCAGCTCTGTTGTATGGATTAGAATGTTGGGCAATCAAGAAGGATCATGTAAGGAGGATGGAGGCAGCAGAAATGAGAATGCTTCGATGGTCATGTGATAGGACTTTATGGGACATGACACCAAACTCTGCAATTAGGATGTCCTTGAAGGTGGTGCCTGTATCCAAAAAATTGAGGGAGAGAAGACTACGGTGGTTTGGACATGTCCTTAGGCGACAACCGTCAGATGCGGTCAGGAGGGTAGAGTTTTGTTGTTGTTGTTGTTGATGAAGACTGAAATGAAGTATTATGTCCACTATTTAATAAACCAATTGTTTTTTTAGAAAAATAAACTAATTGGGTTTTGATTTCTACCATCATTTTGTGTTTATGCATGCCTTTTCCATCCATCTGGAGAACATAGCATCCTCAAATGAAAGAGCAAGAGCAAACCATCTAAAGATAGCTAAATCTCCTCAACACGAAAGAGCAATATCATCTTCAGATCTGACATCCTCAAATGAAGAAGCAAATCGTCCCCAACCACTACTTGGCATCCAATTTTGCATTTGAAAAACAATGAGAACTGGCATACATATGATGATTATTGAAAAGGCAGTGAATAATTGGTAATTAGGCAATTAATAATTGGGCTAACATATACTATGCATAGTCAGGGCAGAAATAATATATTCTGCCTAAAAAATATTTGAATGGAGAAAAACATGAAACACAACAAAGATCATATACAAATATTTTCTTTTCCTTCTTTTGTTGTTACAATTTCAAACCATTATAGGCAAGCAGTACATTCTGCAGAAAGTACGAGATCGTAGTTTGTACAGAATTATGCTCACATATATTCAAGAATGTTCAAGTCTTTCCTGCAAGATTTGCCCCAGCTTCATAAGAAGATTTTGCTGCTCTTCAAATGTAAGGTTTTTCAATATCTGCATGGTGATTAGCACTAGGTAATTGGTAATAGGTTTACTTCTAAGATCATTTATTTTATGGTAATGGACTGGAGAACAACTAAGCATGATATACTATAAATTTACCTGGTCCAAGATCATTTCAACCGAGATGCCTTCACGCCTAACAAACGACTGGTGATAGATATATGCAAATACTGCCATCACCATCTACATTAAATGACCAAAAAATCAGAGCAGCATAGAACATTAGAAGCAACATCCTAACAAAATGTCGGTCCATTGAAGACTTTTACCACTTAACAAACGCCCTAAGGATATAAATAAGTAAAAGAATTCGAGATCCATCTTTCCACTCATTTGTTTCTCACTTTTTTCCCTTTTCCGTTGTAACAGCAAAATATAATATCTTTAGCTTACATATAAAGACACGGCATTTAATTAAAAATGTCGAACTAAGATAAAAAGCCTCAATTTTCTCACATGGCAATCCATTCTATCTGTAAATCCACCATGCTCAGGAATATTATCACCAAAATCCTATTCCATTATGAAAAAAGTGGGAAGTGACGTAATATACTTCATCAGAAGCTATGCAGAAAATAGAAAAGAAAACAGGAAGGAGTTGGCACCTTGATCTTAAAAGCTCTTTTAAAACCACTCGCAAAAAATCCCCCAAAAGGTGCTATAATTGATGCAAACAAACCAAAGCATAAATCATGCCGCTGAACAGGCAAAATGGAGATCTCTTTCCAAGGAAACTGCAAACAAAATGTATGACTATTGATGGAGCATTGTAGCTTACACAATAGCATTTCGAGTTTTTGACGAGGTAACTGACTTTCCAACATATCCGAACCATCGGCAACCATATTAATTTTTAATAAAGTTTCCAGCCTCAAAATTCTGCTACAAGAATTGAAAGACCCAAGTACTTTGAGCTGAGGTGATAACCATCAACCGGCGTTGATGAGTACACTAAAGATTTTTTAAAGGCTACGTGATCTATAACTAGAAATTTAAATTCAGAGACAATTCAAAAGATTCAAGCACTACAAAAAGTTGACTGTCCATCACAATTCAAACATCTGCTCTTTTCTTCCCCTTTAAACATGGAGTTCAGAACCATCAGACTAGAAATTTAAAGTGATTTTTTTATTGGAAACTTAAAAGTGTAACCGTTTCTTCCAAAAAAATCAAATCTTATCAATCAAAAACGAATTATTAGGACACTAAATCCAGAGACAATAAAATTAAGCTCACCCTTTTCGAAATCCATTGTGGTAAAATATAATTCTCTGGCTAAAATAATGGACCCTGGTCACATTGAAGCAAACCAGTTGATAAATCCTGCAAGCATCATCCTCGTGTTCTAAGTTTTCAGGAAAAGGAATAAACATGCTTCTTGAAGGATCAAATAATTTTCTGAATCCAATAATTACCTTTCTTGGACAAGTTAATCAGTGGAAATGACCCAAGATATTTGCAAGCTGCATATGGAAAAATTCACTCCATGTTTATGAAAACATACAGAATGAAAAACTATTCATAAAACCACGGGCACATAACACAAAACAAAATCCCAGTTCCACCAAAGGCACATTGTAAACCCCTCAGACCGATGCGGATAGTCCGATCCAATCTGGAGTGTCACATTAGGGCCACCGGAGCGACCCACTGTAAAAATCACGAAATTTTGAAAACTTTTGTCAAAACATGTAACTCATAAAATGATTTATTATTATTCAGAAATAAAACAGGATTTTCATACTCAGATATAAAATAAAATACAATCTACATGCCCCCTAATCACATGTACCATCCTTTGAAAGCAACGTCGAAAGAACTCCTTTATTGATATCGATAGTTGCACTGGTACAATTCTTTTATCCTGCAATAGTGAGTAATAGAGTGAGCTTCGGAAAGCTCAGTAATACAGAACTACCAGATGATGCTATATGACATGCAGATAAATGAAAAGCTATATAATTTCTTTATTGAATCAAACGTATACCCGTTGAGGAATAATCTAGGGTTCCATCAGTAGTTCATCAAGTTGAAGCCATGAAAATCACAATTCATAGGAAGCATTCAAAGTATGACATTTTTCAGGAGATCAAATAGGATGTAGTGTGTTCCAATCAAAACCGATGAAAATATATAAATCTTTTAAAACTATAGTTGAACCCCCAACCAAACTCCATTATGCAGTTCCCCAGAACTGCATCCATAGGGCTTGCCCTCAGCACACAGCAAAAAGGGGAGCCAACCTAAGGATATACCTTGGATCTACCCAAGGACATCCTTAGATCCGTAGGGTTACCTTAAGCACACAATTAAGGAACCAACCTAAGGATATACCTTAGGGCCTACCCAATATATCCTTAGGTCCGTAGGGTTACCTTATGCACACAGCAAAAGGGAACCAACCTAAAGATATGCCTTGGGGCCTACCCAAGATATCCTTAGGTCCGTAGGGTTACCTTATGCACACAGCAAAAGGAACCAACCTAAGGTATACCTTGGGGCCTACCCAAGATATCCTTAGGTCCGTAATGACTTACAGCCGGATCAGGGCTGTGCCTCTATACTCCAGATTCCTATCCATATAAAAATCCAGTAGAAATCAGTTTTATCTGTAAATCGTAATACCTGGATCGTGATCCAGTAATATGTCATATCCGTGATCATGAAATAAATCATATATCAAATTTCCACATGTACACCATAAGTAGTCAAATGATTAACCCAATGGAGTACCTTGGGCCTGAAAGCCTACCCAAAGATCCCCTTAGGTCCATAAGAAATTTCCAGTTTGATCAGAGTTGTACCTCCAGTCTACCCATATAATATCCAGTAAAATAGTTCGAGTATAACCAGTGAAACATAAAACCATAATTCATAAACCAGTAGTTTCTATGATTCCATAAATTAGAAACAATTTATATTTTCGATAAAACCATAATCATAAATCACTTACCATGTTGCCATGGTTCATAAACCAGTAAATCAATACTTGTACTAAACTCATTTCAAAACATATAAAACCGTCATGTAATTCATTTGGAACACACTAGAGTATCCACGTATATTTTTCAGAGGCATTTATCGTTATCAATAAGGACAACATGAAACTCGAGCAATTTGATCGAATTATAGGAACAAGGTTCTATTGAGGAGAATCGATTACTAACCGATCTAGCCAGACATTTAAGGTTGATACTTTAGAATCTCATTATATTTTTGGGTGCATCAGGAAAGTGTTCCAGAATGCCCAGAGTGATTTGAGCTAATAAAGGAGAAATGAAGCTTCAAGACATTTACAATCCATGTTAATCGATCGGTTTATCGAACAATTCGAACTGAACAATCTCTCAGTAATGCATGTCGACCCGTCAATTTACTGCCTTTTCAGAGTATTTACTCTTTAATATCAACAATTCTTATCTATAAATCATCTTCGTAATCATCGATGAATTGATCTTCCAATAGTCTTTATTTCATTTCCATATTTCAACGATATCAGGAAATACATACATACTTGATTCATGTTTTATGACCCATAAGGATAATTCAACATGTAAGTTCAACAGTGTTCCCAAACTCATCTAATCACCTATTTAATCTTCACTCATTGAGGTTACTCATTTCGTTTATCAGTCAAGTCTATCCCGGTTACTTCAGAGCTTTCTAAATAATCCAGACGTTTCTGAATTTCAGATACATATTGTACTTCCGTTTAATTTAATTTGGTCTTCATGGTTGATTTGTCTAACAAATATCCATTTCTTATTATCGAATGCGACCTAGAGTTGAGTTGAGCTGAGTACTTTCAAAATTATCATCGAACCACACTTGAGAAGACGAACACGCATTCAAGTAACATCTATACATTTTAGGTACTGATATATACACTAGCATTGATTGCTCGGCTTAATATGTGATCCATAACTTTTAAGAGCAGTACCACATCCATGTTTATTTGGATTCCTTAATTAATCCAACACTTCAACTAATTTTAGGTCATAAGGGTATTTTGGTCATTCTGGTGCTCAGTTTCATTCCATTCTTTTCAGAGCTCGAGGATATCCAATCATTCCTGAGCTTGGTGATATTCTTGGGTTATTTTCATTACAGGGGTATTCTAGTTATTCTACAGATCTGATGTATTTCAATCATTTCCTTCTATCATGTCTTATTATTTAATTCCAATTTATCATCAATTTCAATCCCTTCGAACAATTCTGATAAAAGAGCACCCTGATAAATTGTTCTTCAGGTATTTACTCTTAACTCGGATATTTTCGGGTCAAGTCCCTTCTTAGATTTTTACCAACGGAATATCAAGAATTTTCTACACTAAGTCAGGATCTTAACAATCAAATAATTACTTAATCGAGTTAAGTACAAATCCTCAAAGTACTTACTCATTCAGGGTCAACTCGAATTATTTTACCTCTCAAGGGCATTTTCATAATTTCCTAACCAGATAATTTCGATATTAGCTCTTAACGAAAATAATTATAGTTTAAAGATCCTATGATCAATTGCTTTGCCGAACATTCTTTGATCTTGAAATTATTCCTTAACAAACTTCTAGCATATTGCGCAAACCCTTTTTGGCATTAAAAACCAGTTATCCAAATTTTCCAAGCAAAACTAGCATTTTTTATGCACATCTGTAATTATATCGGATCAATATGTCTTTTCAGAGTTATTAACCAACTTCTAGGGACAATTCTTGTCATCCTACAACATAAGGGTATTTTTGTAATTTTACCCTACCAGAGTATTCTCATAATTTTCCATCCAAGTACCTTTAACATTTAACCTTTGATGATATAAAATACAAGTTACAAATCCAGGGCTGATTTCTTTATCACCAATCACAAACTTGTAATTTAATTCTAACAATTCATCAATCTCTTATATTAGTCATTCGATTCGTATTCAGTTACAGAATTTCTACCACATTCATATCGAGTGTATAAATTATTCAAGTCCACAAAAGTGATCAACGTTATCTTATTCATGCATTTACCAATATCAACATGTTCCATAAAGCATAAAGAGGTAGCAAAGTATTACCTCGATTTTCGTATAATACTGATCGACCATTAAATTCCATTCGAACGCCCTTGATCTTGAAATCATCTTCCAATATTTCCTCGGATCCATATCAACAGAAATTACATAAAAAAAACGGAGCTTAATTGCGATAAACGGATCGAATCGGGTGATAAATCAGTCAAAAACAGCTTACCGGGTTCGAATTTGGCGAAACGGACTTCAGATTCGGATTCAGGACGTCGAAAACATAAAATATGACTTTTCAAAAATTTGAAATTTTCGGTCAAAATCGAAGTCAACGGGTTTGAGTGGCAATTTCGAGGCCTTTGGGTCTGAATTTCGAAAAACGAAGTGCGGATTCGGATTTGGAACGTCGAAAAACGTCAGGATAGGTATACTCGGTCAAAGTCAACGGTCGTTTAATACCCGGTCAAAGCCAATCAAAGTTTTAGTCAACTATGGTCAACGCCGGTCAACGATCAACATAGGAACAGTCAACATTCGACCATTTTACACAAATATCACTCTAATATAAATTAATTACCAAATCAGACACATTCTGCAAATATTTACTAAAGTAACACCCGAATTTTACACAAATAGCACCCAAACATAAATTAATTATAAAATTATCACCCAAACGATGCCCACACTCGGGGGTGGCGCGTGAACAGTGCTACAGTGTCGGAAAATTCCCGGAAATATTTCTAAAAATTATTTTAAGCGATTTTGAGGCACTTACAAAGCTCGGTTCACAATTTTGAACGGTGGAGAGCTCGATTCCAAAACATCGAAAACTTTGACGGTCTCACCCCTCCACACGCCAGCGACGACGGAGAAACGGAGAACACCGGTGGATTCGAAATGATGCAAGGAACACGATGGTGCGGGAGATGTCATAAACGGATGACCGGATCGTCGTGAATCAATGAAAAACCAACTGAAATCGAGTTATTACCGACAATACTTCCGACTGAAATTAACGACGAACGACAACGATTCACGACGAAAGATTTGAGGGGTTTTATTCCTCAACCGACAGCGAACACGATGGTGGTTTTGATTCGTCAATCGGAGGTCGAACTACGAGTAGATCGAAGTTGAAAGAAGAGTCGTTGGAGAGAGAAAACTAGAAATGTTTCTGCAAAAATACATGGGGAAATGGGTTTATAATATCTCCAAAAAAAAATAGTTAAACTATGATTTTAGCCACTGAGTTTATTACACTTCATAAAATGGTCTGTCAACTTTGAATTTTTACAATTTAATCCACCGTTTCTTTTAAAATACAAATTAAATCCACCACTTTATAATTTCTTAATTTTTAGCCCCTAAATTGAGGTGTTACACACATTCTCCCGTTATTGAAGCACAATAAAAATAATACAAATAAGTGTTACTAATCTACATGATTCAGCGCCATTAATCAGCATTAGCATTAGATCTTTGGATTACAGGTTCAGGATGAATTTTCACATGAATGCCAAAGGGGAAAACACATTTAATAAATT